CCCCCCCTTTCCTCTCCACCGCCAAAGTGATTCACTTTTTTTTCCTGATGACCATGGTGTTAGGGTCAGCTTGCACCTCGACTAATTTCATGGGATACCTGCTACCTTCCATTAGCAATAAAAAGTGATTCATTTCTTTTAATTTTTATTTTATACATGAGGGGGTGTTGTTTGGGTAGCTTGTGTTCATCTTGACTAATCCTTTTAACAACATGCTACTTCGCACCAGCAGAGGTTTTTGGGTGAGCCTGCATGTCATGTTGCAGCTGGATTTGTCACTCTTTATGCCACGATCACTAAGCCACCTAGTTCGGACACCCACCTTAGTGAAAATAATTTGGAGTCTTTCAAAGATGTACCATAACATAATAAGAGTGCAGTTTTTGACTGCAAAGCTTCCTACTTTATATTCAATAACAAGTGCGAACGAGAAGGAGTTCGCTCAGCCTAATAAACAGTAAATGGATCCCCAATTCCAGTTCTTATCACACAAAAAAGGCACACTAATACACCACAAAGAATAAATGTCAAAATTAAGTCCAGCGGTTATATTTATAAGAAGGTGAAGAATGGTACCTCCAGTGAGACGATCGAGAGTGGATGAGAGCTGATCTTGACTACGAGAAGTGGCGGCAGCGCTGTCATCAAATTCCCGGATTATAGAAGAAATTATAGTAGAAAGCCCCTTCGCTAAGGCAGAATTTGATGTGTCGCTGTTGTCCGCATCGCCATCGACGGCGACACTGGTCGGGTCATGCTCCGCCGTGTCGCACGGTTGTTTCTCTGGGACTTCGTTCGACATTGATTGAATTGTTAAGCGAGGGTCTTTTCTGGTAGTCGTCAGCAGGAATATAAGTACTCCCCGTATTGGATATACTGTACTACTTCTTCCCTTTCTTTTTTTTTGCTCGACATTTCCGATTTTTGTTTTTAGTTTTGAACCTTTCGTTCCCAAGTCTTTTTTTTTTTTATTTGGTTTTCCGCCTAGTGTCCGGTTCCCGCATTGGAACTCGATTATATTCGTATTCGCGCCGCATAGGCCTTCATTTGATGGAAAACATTTTCTACCAAGAATTTTTCTATACTCAGGGCTCGAACCCGATACAAGGGAAGAACAGCCACATCCGTTGTACCACATCTTTTGATTTTTGTTCCCAAGTCTTAACCAGTGCTACTAGCTAATAGAAGTTGAACTAAACATGTAAATTTGTCTTGAAGGATGAACATCAATGCTATATTACATTGATCTATACATAAATTCTAAATAATTAAATATCATTAGTTTGCAAAGATAATTAATTTAATTAAGTTAACTCGGTACTATTTATAATTATATTTATTTATTATTCAAATCCCGATGTATAAATACATTGTAATGTTATAATGATCAAAAATCCCACCAAGGTCATGATGGATCTAATTCAACCCGCTAGATGAACCAATCATAAACGACAATTTCAAATATCGTGAAGCAACAACAGAGTCTAAACAGAGATGATAATATAACAATTAATCTAAAGCTAATAACACAAGTACAAAAATAACCAAAATATCCCTAGGAATTGGTGTCATGATGCCATGAGCTACTGAATCAAATACAACTATCTGAAACATAATGCATATATTGTCTGAATAAAAGATAAACTATAATAGAAAGATAGACGAAGGTGACTCCAAGGGCACTGCGGATCGATCAAGTAGCTCTACCTTGAGCCTCCAAGAAAGTACTCCTAGATAGTCTCTTGGGTCCCACTAGTACCACGCTCAGAACCTGTAACAAAATATATAAAAATGTAGTATAAGTTAGACCTGCCAAATGGGCCGGGTTAACCCATGAATCGGCCCACATAACCTATTACAATGGACTCCTTAACCGACCACGACCTACTAACCCCTAACCGGACTAACATGTAATGACTCAACCAATTATTTTGAGTTCTAGCATTATGTTCTATGATTTAAGACCTTGAGTAGATTCATATGATGCTTTATGACTTATATTTATGGTTGGTTCGAGTTCCAAAAAGTCCGCAGTGATTTGGAACACTTAGTTCATAGCTAGAAGCCTTAAAGTTAAGAGAGTTGACCAAACTCAACATATTAGGTAAACAAGCTTCGCTTTCTGATTAGAAGGTTCCAATAGGTTCGTATAATGATTTTGGATTGGGACGTATGTTTGATGGGGTCTCAGATGGCCCGAGAAGAATTCAACATTATTGGTTAATAGTTGGCAATTTGAAGAACTTAAGAGTTCATAAGTTTGACTAAGGTTTGACTTTTGTATTATTATGTTTTGCCGCATGTTTCGAGCCTTCGAAGAAGTTCATATAGGGTATTTGAACTTATCGGAATATTTTGGGAAACTCGTGAATGGTTCGAGTTTGATTCAGACGTATCTTGTGAAAGTTAGAAGTTGGAGGACTTAAGAAAGTTAATGATTTTGATTTGATGCTTGATTCTCGGTTCTGATATTGTCATATGTGTTTTGAGTTTGGACAAGTTCGTATAAATATACAGATTAGTTAGGATCATTGGAGGGGTCCCGAGAACCTCGGGTGAATTTTGGGATAGTTTTTGATCAAATCTAGCCACTTAACAGCTGCTCATTTTTGACAGCAGGAGTGTAAATCGCAATCACGATGGTTAGGATACTGATTATAAAGAGTAAAGTAGAATTTGGATTTTGTTAGCGGAAGGTTCTCCACGATCACGTAGAATAAATATTTGATGATAGTGGATTGACTTTTGAAACTTATATCTCGCAATCTATAACGAATTTGGGGATGATCAAAAAATAAAAGGTGTAGTCCTTTGAGCCTAATATTTAAAAATTTAAATAGTTTGTTATTCCGACATTTATACAAAAGTTATGGCCATCATTATACTAAAGGATAGTAGTATAGAGGTACGCATTGGTGCATCGCAATCGTGGAGCTTCTTGGCTGCTATAATGAAGAATAAAATAGTGTTGGACACTTTGTGAACCGCGAGGGTGGTGACCGCAATCACAAATAAGAACTATTTCTAGGGGTATAAAACGTCCAATTTTGGGATTTTAACCTTATTTTTACCATTTTTTAGTTTTGAAGATCGGGAGAAGGCGATTTCGAAGAGGGGTTATATCATGATTACCTATGGATTATTACATACACCTAAGTCAAGAATTTATAAAGTAAAAAATGAGTTTTTGACTTGAAACTTCAGAAAGGGTATTTTGAGATACAACGTCGATTTGGACTCAAATTTAGAAACTAATTACATATTTGGACTCGAAAGGTTACTGTTCACCGAGATTTAATCATAATTCTAGGTTTAGACCAAGTGATCCAGGTTGACTTTTACTGATTTTTGAGATTTCAATAAAGATTAAAACTTTATTGTTTGGAATTGATTTTTATAACTTTATTTGACCTTGTTGAGTATTGTTTGGGATAGATTGGGCTTGTTGGAATACCAAAAAAAAACCTAAACTNGAACTTGGATTTTTGAGAGCAATTACCCCCTGGACGTTGATGTGGTAAAGAGTATGGTTGTACTCTCTTTTAAGCGCGTAGAAGTGAAGAAAAATCGAAAAATCAGCTTCCAAGTAGGTTATTTTTTACCTTTTAATTATCATATAATCATATATAATGATTTATTTGTTACAACTATGTATATCTTCTTGCTTCATCTTAACATACAACGTGGACTTTACTTCAACTATTATTTTTTTTATTTCTTCTATAGATATAATGTCTATTCTTTCCAACTGCATATTTCTTCTTTTTCGGATCGAATTTGTAAAAATTTTGGTTGGAACTCCATCATTTTAGCCAAATACAAATCTTTTAGCAAAAATAATGGAGTACTACTTGTGTATTTCCTGTTCTTTAGATATAATGTCTATTTATTTTAATTGTGTATTTTTATTTTAGAGTCAAATCAGTAAAAACAATTTGGCTACAGTTCCATTATTTTTTACCAAATAAAAAAAATATAGCCAAAATAATGAACTTGCAATTGTACGCTCTTTTTATTTCTTATTTTGATGCAATGGCTATTTATTTTAATTGTGTATTTTTATTTTTTCAAGTAAAATCTGTATAAAAAAATACATTTTTAGAGCTCCATAATTTATAGCTAAATAAAAATTTATAGCCAAAATAATAAAGTTCAAACTATGTACTTTTTATATCTTATTAGATGCCTTGACTATTTATTTTGTAACGACTCGGCCGGTCGTTTTGAGTATTTAGCTATGTTTCCTCTATTTGATTCTTTATTTATGTGTATTTGAGGTTTCGTGACTTTTCGGGGTGGTTGGGTTGGGTTCGGGGAAGTTTCAGAGTGAATTGAGACACTTAGTCCCAAAGTTGGAAGCTTAAGTTAAAAGAGTTGACCGGCATTTTGACTTTTATGTAGAAGACTCCGGGAATGGAGTTTTGATGGTTACAATAGCTTCGTATGGTGGCTATGGACTTAGCGTATATCCGGATTTAGATTTGGAGGTCCGTAGGTTGATTTGAAGTTTTTTGGCGAAAGTTGAAAAGTTGGAGGTTTGGAAGGTTGAGAGAAGTTTGACTGAGAGTTGACTTTATTGATATCGGGTTTGGATTTTAGTTTCAAAAGTTGGTATAGTACCGTTGTGTTATTTGAGACTTGTGTACAAAATTTGAAGTCATTCCGGGTTGGTTTGATGTGATTAGGCATGAGTTTAGGAAGTTGGAAGTTGGAAGTTCATTAGTTCATTAGGGTTGAATCGGGGTGCGATTCGTGGTTTTGATATTGTTTTGTATTATTTGAGGCCTCGGGTAGGTTCGTATTGTGTTTGGGATTGGTTGGTATGATTGGACGGGGTCCCGAAGGCCTCGAGTGTGTTTCAGATGGGTTTCAGATCATTTTTATCATGTTTGAGACTGCTGATGCAGAGGTTCTGGTTTCCTTCTTCACGATCGCGAAGAAGTTATCGCGGTCGCAGAAGGCATTATGTTGATAGAGGTGATTGTTAATCCCATTCGTGGAAGTGAGCTCGCATTCACGAAGCTTTGAGAGGCATAGGTCATCGCGATCGCGAGTATGTAGTCGTGTTTGCGTAGAAGGGGAGTTCAGCTGGAGACTTCAGGCTGTAAGTCATCGCGATCGCGTAAGGTTGCTAGCGTTAGCGAAGTATCCTGTTGGTTGTGCATCACATTCGCGAGCTTCATGTCGCGTTCACGTAGGCCATTTTCTGGGGCAGTGTTGATTGAGCTTCGCAATCCGAAGTTGGTCCCGGAATCGCGAATGGTATGCCTGGGCAGAAAGTACTTTATTTTTTGAGGGTTTTTGTCATTTTAACATATTTTGAGTTGTGGAGCTCGGTCTAGGGTGATTTTTGGAGAGCTTATCATCACACTTGAAGTGGTAAGTGATCTTTACTCACTTTTGATGATAGATATTGATTACCCATTGATTATTATATCTAGATTATGTGGGTTTAAGGTGAAATTTGGGGATTTAAGGCTATGTTATTGGAGAGTGAGATTTGATGATTTGGAGGTCGATTTGTGGTTGGAATTGGATGAAATTGGTATGGTTTGACTCATAATTAAATGAGTGTCTAGAATTTTTGAGTTTGACCGGGTTTCGAGATGCGAGCCCGCGGTTGACTTTTTGATTTTGGTTAAAGATCTTAGCTTTATCATTTGGAATCAATTCCTATGGCCTTTATTGATTATATTAAGTTAATTTGACTAGATTCGAGTCGTCCGGAGGTTGATTCATGCGGGAAGGGCTTGTTAGAGGAGTAATTTGGCTTGCTTGAGCTAAGTATCTTACCTAAACTTGGTTGAGGTACTAGTTACCTGAGTTATTTGTGATAGCTACGTGCTATGGGGGCGCAT